GGCTTTAGAATGGAAAGAATGGGTGTGAAACTGAAACACGTGGCCTGTTTGGCAGTCGGGGCTGATTTGGTGGATCCGAATGACCAGATCTCCAGAATCCGTGTCACTCCTTGAAGCTGGGTCTCAGTCGTAGAAGCAGAAAGCAAAGGAAGAACAAACAAGGCAGGTGAAATCTCTTGGTTCCTGGTGGAGCGGGATTTTCTGTGCAAGGTATTACTTTGCTGGTTTTAAAGGACATTTAGTTGAAGGGAAGCTGTGATTGAATTTAGGTGACTTCCCTTAGAAAAGTTATGGAATGTGTCAATTTAGAAAACTTAGGAACTGGGTTACAGGTCTGTAGGGGATGTCTGTATATTTGTGTTACATTTAAATTTGCCAAGTACATATTTTCTATTAAGCTATTTGTTAGGCAAAAATGAGAATGAGCAATAAGCATTTTTTTTTTTTTTTTGGTATAGCTGTGCTTTATTCTCCATAATCATTTAAGTTATTTTCTAATGAGACTTTTCTGAACTTAATGGCAAATCAGCCAGGAGAGGGGGCGAGGGCAGTAAGGACGTGCTCGGAGTCGGGGCAATTTGGGTATAAATGCCCATGAGGCCTCACAGGCTGGTGAAGTCAGGATATTGTTACATTTTAGGGTTCCTTCCAGGATTTTTGTGAATTTAAATGCTGTATACATTGGTAGCAAGGACTGATTACTGCCTTTAAGAATTATAGTCCATTGCTGTTTGGAAATGGCAGTGATATTGTAGGAGGCCTAATGCATGGAAATGGGTGTGGATTCTCAGTTTGTTTGTGAGTGCCAGTGAATAATGAAGAACCTGAAATTAAAAATACCCGACAGGCTTCTTTAAAGACCTTGGAAAGTGGATAAAGTGCTTGGCAAGTTTTTCAGAAAGGAAGAGAAAGCAAATACAGCCTTACTAGAGTTTAATTACTCTCATCCCCGACGAGATAAGTGGTTGAAAAGTCGTCTTTCAGCCCTGCTTCCTCCCTTAAATACTGAATTTCTGTAGAGACCGAACCTCTTCCTACATCAAGACAGGCAACGAATGTCAGACATGACTGGAGTCTCTGGGTAAAAGATCACCCACGGGGTTTAAACCCAGGCAGGCCATCTGCCATGTGCACACAGCTCGGGGTCTGGGACAGAATGGCGGGAACTGTGGGGCTCAGAGGCAAAAGCTGGTGTGTTCCTCACAAGTATGATCACAGTACTGGGGAAAAACACCTTTCCACTCTGGCCAAAGGAAACCACTTAGACACTGCAAAAGAGCAGGTACCAGGAGGAAAGTAATAACAGCACCACACACGACCATAATAGCTCACACTTCCTGATTGCTTACTGGGTGTCAGCATTGTGCAAAACACTTTGCAAGCATTATCTCATTTAGGAAAGTGATGGAGGTTAATGCAGAGCTTTCAAGGCTTGATATTTGAGGTCATATATACCCTAAGTCAAGTGATAGTTCAGGAAAAGTGGCTAAATGTTTGAGAACGTTCGAGCAGGTATTTGGGCGTGTTTTTGGTGGGCTGGAAGCAAAACAAAGAGCTTATTTATTAAAACTGGAGATCCGATGATGGCAGGGAAGAAGGTCTAGATCAGGCTGTCTGTGAACAGGCAATTATCCAGGCGCCTTGAGCAGAATACTTTAATCAAAACTCCAGCTGCCAGTCTAAGAACGGGCTGCTAATTCCTTCCAGCTGCCCAGACTGGAGACGGGAAGCGGGGAGTCACTCAAACCACTGGGACAGCCACTGCATTGCTGAGAAGGCAAGGGCCTTACCTCAGATCTAGGGCTTCTCAGAAGACCTGCATGTGGCCTCTTTCTAGTCCCAAGGCTCAGTCTTCCAAGAAAAAAATGTAGAGAGTGGTGCCCAGACAACTATGAAAAAAAAAAAGCTGCCCTTTAATCGGTTATCCGTATAGGGAGCAAAGCTACATGCAAAATGTCTGCGATCAGGAAGAATCCCCATCCTAACATTCCCAAGGCAACAGCATCACGGGGAGGCAGACATGGCATTACCGAACACAAAGAGTTGGTCCATCCGGCGCTGGCAGAGCCAAACACTAAACACAGGGAATCGCAGTGGAGAAAGACTGGCTATTTTATTATGAATGGTGCAACCCAAGAGAACGGGGAGCTCATGCTCAAAAGCCTGAACTCCCTGATTCAGGGTTTGGGGCGGGGTTTTAAGGGTCTAGGGGAAGAGGTATACAGCAGTGCTGGTGTGGCAAGTTTTATTTTATTTGTCAATTATAGCTGACATTCAATATTATTTACATTAGTTTCAGATGTGCAGCATAGCGGCTGCTAATTTACGAAGTGATCCCCTGATAAGTCCAGTGCCCACCCGGCACCATACATAATTTACAGCATTATTGACTATATTCCCTGTGCCGTACTTTACATCTCTGTGACTATTTTATAACTACCAATTTGTACTTCTTAATCTCTTTACCTTTTTCACCCCAATCCCCCTTCCATCTGGCAACTTACCAGTTTGTTCTCTGTATCTACGAGTCTGTTTCTGTTTTGTTTGTTTATTTTATTTAGATTCTACGTATAAATGAAATCGTAAAGTATTTGTCTTTCTCTGTCTGATTTATGTCACTTAGCATAATACCCTTTGATATTATCACAAATATAAATTTTCATTCTTTTTTATGGCCAAGCAATAGTCCATTATATATATGTATCACTTCTTCTTTATCCACTTGTCTATTGATGGGCACTTAGGTTGCTTCCGTATCTTGACTACTGTAAATAATGCTGCAATAAACATAGGGGTGCATATATCTTTTTCAATTAGTGTTTCGAATAAATACCCAGAAGTAGAATTGCTGGGTTGTAAGGTAATTCTATTTTTAATTTTTTGGGGACACTCCATACTATTTTCTGTAGTAGCTGCACCAATTTGCAGTCCCATCGACAGTGTACAGGGGTTCCCTTTTCTTTGCATCCTCAACAACACTTGTTATTTGTTGATGTATTGATGATAGACATTCTGACAGGTGTGAGGTAATATCTCATTGTGGTTTTAAAATGCCATTTCGCTGATTAGTGACATTGAACATCTTTTCATATATCTATTGGCCATCTTTATGTTCTCTTTGGAGAAATGTCTATTGAGATCTTCTACCCATTTTTTATTTGGATTGTATTTTTGGTATTTAATTGTATGAGTTCTTTATAAAAACCCCTTATTGGAATCATTGGCGAATATTTTCCATTCAATAGGTTGTCTTTTTGTTTTCTTAATGGTTTCCTTTGCTGTGCAGAACCTTTTTAGTTTGATGTAATCCCACTGTTTATTTCGTCTTTCGTTTTCCTTGCCCGAGGAGTTATATCAGGAATTGATTATCTTTTCATCTGTTGATGGTTTCCTTTACTGTGAAAAAGGTTTTTAGTTTGATGTAATATTATTTGTTTATTTGTTTCCTTTGCCTGAGGAAATATATCAGAAAAAATATTACTGAGAGCAATGTCAGAGTTTACTGCCTACGTTTTCTTCCAGGAGTTCATGGTTTCAGGTCTTTCCACTCTGATCTTTATTATTTCTTTCCGTCTATT